ACCAAATCTTGCCTAGGAAAGGTATGTACGCATACAGGCCATGTGTAACACAGAAAAGGTGCCGCAACCCTCAACCAACATATCAGCGTGGAATCGGCGCGATACACATGCAGAACTGTGTTTTAACATGAAAAGTAAGGGCACATACCGGACCAAGCTCAACCTGGAAAGGCGCAAGCCATAGGCGGAAGGCGATGCAATGAATGTTTGCAATCTACAATGCAATATGTACAAATATGCAATGGGATGGATGTTCACAAAAATGCATGACAATGCAGTGCGATGCGACTACTGGGAAAAATGCAATGGATGCATGCAAGCTACAATGGAAATGCATGACAATGCACTATGATTGTTTTTTTGTGTTGTTTTTTTGAGATGCACATGATGCAAGTGCGACACGCATGCCATACGGAATGTAAGATGATACAAATGAGACACGTATGCCTCATAAGATGCGAAAAAGATTTTGACAATTGGACTTATACGCTACGCAAAGCCGGTTTATGTTCAAAACAACGCAATGTACTAACAAGTACAAGCGAGGTGCGCAAGATAGTGCGATAGAAATACAATGCACAAAACAGTGCGATGCGCAAGACAGCGCGAATGATATACAATGCACAAAACAGTGCGATGCGCTAAACAGAGCGATTGAAATACAATGCACAAAACAGTGCGATGTGCAAAACAGCGCGATTGAAATACAATGCACAAAACAGTGCGATGCGCAAAACAGCGCGACGGTTTGAAATGCACAAAACAGTGCGACGATTTGAAATGCACAAAACAGTGCGACGATTTGAAATGCACAAAACAGTGCGATTGATATGCGATATACATGGGGCAACTTTTGGACCTTGTAAAAGTCAAAAGGATACGAAAAGGATACACCTTGCATGGGTTGGAGTGCTACGCACGGCAGATGCAGTCCGAAGTCAGAACGGAGGCCGGTTGACCATCGGAGGTGCTCTTTCTTGCACTTTCTTGAGCTATGAAGACCAAAAACTCCTCATATGGCCTAAACAAGGCTGTGGGAACATCATCGGCCGAGAGGGGAGGCCACCGGCTGTCCACCGGCTGAAGAATAATTCCATCGGCACAAAAAAGTGCCGGCCGGCATAAAACATTGCCGACCGACAAACAGTTGCTGAATCGGGGCAGTTTTAACTTTTCGCTTCGGGTGTTTTAAAATAGGGTTTCAAAACCCTATTCCTCACTTCTCCACCGCCGAAAACTCTAACCCTCTCTCTCTCTAGAGTGTTTTCTTCTTCCCATTTCTCCGTTTCTTCGCGTTCTACGCCCATTTTGTCGTCGGATTCGCGATTTCCTTTGCGTTTCAGACATTTTCAACCGATCACATTTTTGTTTCGGTGCCTCGTTTGGCGTTCCCGCCTTTTCGGGGTTTGTTCCCCTTGTTTTCCTCTTCATTCCCGTGCCTTTTCACATTCCGGCCTTTCCGGCCATTCCCAACCCTCTCAGGAGTCGACTTTTCGGTTGACTCTTCGCATTCCGGCCCGATTTTCCTTCTTCCGGCCATTTTCTCATCATTTTTGATATGGCGGACGACATTCCACGTGG